TATATATATAATTTCATTTAGTGTGGCTACAGGGCATGGGCCAGTATGAAATTTGGACAGTAATGTCTTGAAACATATCAAGGTGTGACAGTTTTGTGGTATTAAAAAAAAATCAAATATCAGATCAAAAATGTTCCAAATACCACTGCTGCTAAACTAAGGTTTTATTGCAATACAGCAAATAAAACAAAACAAAACACAAAAAAACAACCATCAACTTCACTTGAGGAAATCACATTTTAAAGGTGACAAGTTAAAGGGGACACACTTTTAAATCATAATTTTTCACATTTAAATCATTCAGTTTGGGTTTATATAAAATTGAACTGCAATGTTTTGGAGGGAAATTCCTCATTATTGCAACTCCACAAGCCCCTTTTCACCCTTTTTTTCTAATTGATCTCTCAGATCAATTAGTTTTGACTCTGTCTCTTTAAATCCAAATGTGGTGTGTAAGTACTAGCACTAATAATAATAATATACATTCTGATAAAATAAGATGTCCTAAAAAGGATAAATTATGAAAACTTTGAAATTAATTGTATCTAAATGCAAAATGATGCAATTAACAATCCATAGAGAACAGAAAATAAAATAAGATAAAAAAGAAATCAATTTGAACGCATTGTGGTTTTATACGTATGTTGTTTTTATAAATTAAGAAGCTCAGTGCTATCAGCACTTTGAAAAACACAATTTGCTTTCTTTTTTTGACTTTTCTGTCATACTTTCTTTCTTTCTTTCTTTCTTTTTTTATTTCATGTCTCCAATTATCCACTTTTCAAGTTTCTATTGTTTATTTGAGTTTCACAGTCTCCTGAGACACAAGTTTGCTGTTCAGAAGCATTGTCAACAGAAGGACAGGATTTCTGTTGTGRGCCTTGATGAGTGTAGTGGTGCCTTCATGGAATGGGTCACTAAGCGCAAAGTACAACATGACAGCCAACCAGGCATATGTCTGTGCCAAAGTAGTGTCTGCAACTGAGACTTATTTACTGCAGATTGTGATTGACAGCTGGGCCGAAGGGCCACCGGCTGCATCCTGGTTTTCTTTTTCCACTAGAGGTGTCCTCTGGGACTTGGAATCCACGCTACTGTGTTTCAACCGAACAGCTTATGGCAGTAATGAGGATGAAAACTGGCCTGAACACCATGGAAGTTTATGCTTCTTTGAGTTTTACAAACTATCAGTTACAGCAGAATATAATTACTGTCTAGGTTTTTTGCTCTATTATTTTGTTTTGTCATCACACTTACAATTGGAAATGACAGTTTGCAGCTATTTTTCATTTCTAAGCTGATAGTTTTTTGACTAGGAAAAGGGTACCTTTTTTAGTCCTGATTGCTGTCATATAATGTACTTTATTATTTAAAACAGTCCAACAGCAAGACATTCCACAAAAACAACATGTCATAAGTTATTAATGTAAAGGGTTACWACTCATTGCAGGATCCAAATTACAATCTCTATTTTTAAATATAAACCCAATGAAGTCTTGCGGTGCATTCATTTCTGCAGCTCATTAAAACAGTAAGCTTTTGAACTCATATTTGTTTAACAGTTATGACAGAATTAGGAAGCTTTGATGTGTTTACTTTTTTTTTAAAATCTGCAATAACTAGCTCATGCATCTATTCAAAATGTATTATATTTTTGTTTGACAATGGTTTGATTCTTTTCTTTCTTTGAATAGTAGAAATGAATCYCAGGTAGCCCGACAATAGATAAAAAGCAAAAATATTGACAGCAGAATAGAAAATATGCTCAGAAATGGAATTTTAATGAACTAAAAGTAGGTAGATGTSGGATAAAAATGGAATTCTGTCATATTTAACCCACCATGTTTCACATAGCAGCCTTCGCTTTAGGATCTTTTCTGCAAAGTAGTTGGCCTCCTTCCAGTTACACTGCTGATTCTCTTGTAAAGACCTCTGAAGGACTTTCAGTATTTTTTTTAAACCAGACACCATTACTGTGTAGGAACATGTTGGCAAATTTTGTTGCTGTCGGTGAGATATTTTCGAATGTTTTTGCCCATGCTCTCTAAATGAGACCTTGCACCTGTTCCCTTGCCATTTCATAAGGTTTTCATAAAAGAGTGTTTGATCCAGTCAATATCCCTGGTCTCTGGTAGTTTCTCTTTGAAATTGCACATGCTGTGGTACAATCTCTTCATAAAACCAAGGTCGGATGCTGTGGCTGCTGCAAAGGACAGACGCACTTTCTTACCTCTTTCTTTACTCAAGGTTTAAAAAAAAACTGTATTTTGTTAGGAAAAAAAATCAATCTAACTGGAAATCTGATCACAACAAGATTCACAGTAAATTTGTTGTCATCAACCTTGAATTTCAGATGTTTAATATGCAGTTTTAGAGCCCATTGTTCAGCCTCTCACACTGCAGAGCTTATATAAGATTTTAAAACATGGACTTAGTCTGTGGCTCAGCTCACAAATGTTTTCACTGACCACAAGCTGCTTATTTTGACCAGAGCAGAGATTACATGCAAGGCTCTTTCCTTGTACTCCTAACATGAAAATCCAATATTACTCTTAACCATAACATTTATTTTTAAACTTCTGTGGTAACAACAGTCATGATATAGGCATTGTGTTCTGAGGCTGTTTTTAAATGGGTTGATGGCTCTTCAGTACCATAAAGGATTACAATAGCTCATAGTTTTGTTCAGTTTTAACGGGTTTTACAAATCAAGTTTTAGGGGCAAACATCAATGCTAGACAATGCTAACACTTCAATAGCTGCTGGCAATATTTCAAATCTAAGTTCAAATGTGTATTTTAATTTAAAATTTGGTCAAAATTAGCTTTAAGTAAGAAAAGTGAACTAAATTAAATCTTTTTAACACTCAGAAAGTGAGCTAAATAATGAAAATGTGTCAGTGACTTTTTTTTTTTACATTTTATTTTATGCTTGGCATCCCGCTTGCACTGGAAATGCTACAAGCAGTGAAACCTCAGTTTGATTGACTTTTGGCTTTATGTGACAACTAAATTCTAATTATTTTTAATTTGACTGCAGTTATGTAAACAAACCCTGACAATTTTGTATCGTTTTTGTCTTTTAGTGTTACGTGATGACTTCAGGCAGAACCCACAGGATGTGGTGGTGGCCGTTGGGGAGACTGCCAGTTTTGAGTGTCAGCCTCCACGTGGACACCCAGAACCCACCACCTTCTGGAGGAAAGATAAAACCCGTCTTGACCTCAAGGATGACAGGATCATGGTGGGTTATTATTGAACAACATAAGAAGTTTTTTTTTTTTTTTTTTTTTAAATCACATTATTTGTAATGACTTTTACCTGTGTATATCTCTGGTATAACACTTATGTTTGGTTGTATTTACAATTGCATTTTCATTTTTTAGGTTCGTGGTGGAAAACTCACTATTTCAAATGCAAAGAAAAGCGATTCAGGGATTTATGTGTGTGTGGCTTCCAACATGGTCGGAGAGAGAGAAAGTGAAAAGGCTCAGCTCTCAGTATTTGGTAAGAAATCTCCATTCCTGCTTCTACAGGTTATGAACTGTAGTACTTTTCTCTGGCATTTATTGCACAAACATTATGTGACCTTTCTGTATATTTAGCACTTCTGCATTTATGCCTTTAGAGCGGCCAGCGTTTGTGCAACGTCCTGTGAACCAGGTGGTTCTAGTTGATGAGAGTGTAGAGTTCAAATGTCAGGTCCATGGTGACCCACCACCTGCTCTGCGCTGGAAAAAGGAGGATGCAGATATCCCCCGTGGAAGGTAAAAAAACAATCTGTAAATGGTGTTTGAGTATATGTATTTGTGTATGTGTCAATTTGCTTCTGTGATGAAAATGTTAATAAATGCATACTAATATATGTGCAAGCTCAAGTAGATTTGTACCATTGAAAAAAGCATGGGCATCTTTAAGAAGTGTTAGGAAAATAATAATCTATCTGTTTTGAATATGTTTTTACTACCGGTACTCCAAAAAAAATTGCAGATATGATGTTAACAGCTTCTTATTATTGCTGGTCTTTAGGTATCTTTAGGGATAAAAAGACACCACTGTGCACAGACATACTGGCTAGACAGAATCAGTCTGCATGTTTGCATGAGGCAGGTGTGCACGCTTGTGTAAATCAAACCCCGTGAGCCTCCAACTGTATGATGCAACCCGGTGTAAGCAGCACACACATAACTGACATTAGATAATACCATAAAAGGTAACATTTCTTAGCTATATTTTACATCATAAAGTTAAAGGGTATTATTATGTGTTTCATGTTAAATACAATGATTAGCCATAGCATAATGATTAGATAATCTTGTGTTTTTCAAACCACTCTTGAATATTTATTGCAGCATGGTAAGACACAGCATTCTGCTAAATGAGGCCCTTTCTATCAGGGGTTACCATTTAAATTAAACATAGTTTATGATCAGCAACAACGGTAAGTATATGGAACTTGTCAAAGTGACAGCCAAATAAGAATGTGACTTTGCGTGCCAGGCCACCTTCAACTTCTTTTAGGTTCAGTCTTAAACCTCTTTTTACCTGTTGTAAGCTTGGAAAAGGGTGGGGATATTTATTTATTTATTTATTTATTTTATTTTTTTATTTACCTTTTCCCCATTATTTTTCAATAATGTAAATTGGATTATCATATTTTAGTTTTTTTTTTTTTTTTTTTTTTTTTGTGTGTTTGAAATAATAATAATAAAACAATATAACAAATACAAATTTTATGTGGTGTCAGAGATAAACACAAGTCAACATGATCACCACACCATTATCACTGGAGCTATAGTAACGACTGGTCTGTTGCATCTATCATTTTCCAAACCATAGTTTCTGATATACAGAATATTTGTGAATATGACCTTTTAGTCTTGAATCAGACAACATTGGTTAGACTTGACTCCCAGTGTGCATCAATCAGTCTTGTTGGACTTACTCCTGATCCTGTTACTGTTCCAGATTTTTTTTTTTTTTTGTCTGCTTTTGACAGTTCCTGACAACTGCAGACTGGTAGTAAATGAGCAGTAGCTGTGAAGGTGCTATAACTCAAGTGTCTCAAAGGGTCCCCATTTTTTTGACTTGCAACCCAGGCTTTTGCTGGTTGAAATATGCAAACAACCCCAATGACAAACTCCAATTGATACTTCATAGCCCATAGTGGTGTTTTTATCCTGACTTTGTGAACACTGAAACATTATTCACATCATTACATTTTCTCTGTGTTTATTCTCCCAGTACTTCAGCTTCAAGTACAGAATGTTCACTTGTTGCCCATTGTGTTCCTACTCCGTGCACCTGAAACAATATAATCAGTGTTTTGTTATATCTCTTCTCAGTGGTCATAATGTTCTGACTGACCAGTGTGCAGTAACTGCCTGCCTTCCTGTCTGTCACACTGTCTGCCTTCCTGTTTTGTGCCCTCCAGTCCAATACCCTATGATCCTAGAAAAAAATGTCCTAGTTTTAGACCTATCTCGCCTCACTTCCCTCTTTCCACTTCTTTCATTCTTTTCCAAAACCTGCCAGCCTCCTGGGATGTCTGTATCTGGGTCAGAGATGTGCTGTGAATGGAGTCCTCACCAGACTCTGGACAGAGCTCACAACCCCCATCGATATTCTGCCCACACCCTCCTGGAACATCTATTTCCAACGTGACTTTTTCTCACCCCTTGTGCCATTTCTCTGCCTGACTTGTCTTCCATCTTTGAATCAGTATGGCTGGCTAGACAATTTCACAAGATCTTTCATGCCAAAAGGGACCCCAGAGAGGGAGACCCAACTTCTTGCTCCTCTACTCAATCCTTATGTAGGCCCTTTGAGGTGCTTTAGATTCTGCTAGCTGGGATGGTTCTCTCAGTCTAACTGCAGTGCTGTTGGCTTACAACTGCTTCGCTGGTGAATACACTCAGATGGAAGGAACATCTCCATGAATTAGTCATGTCTTACTGCTTGGCTCATCCAGTTTGTCAGACTGTGCCACTCCCTGACTCCCAGACTGTTTGTCTCGTCTTCTCTGACTTCCTCTCTTTTTTACTTCTTCTCTTCCACACACATATTCTCACACTTGTACATACTTTATCGCAGCCCACACTACAGTGTAGGCTGTGCATCTTTATGAATATTGAAATAGTGAGACAATCAGGGTTCTAGCTGAAAGCACCTTTCATTTTGCCATGCCTTCATCTCAGTTTAATTGTTCTTCCTTTCACACCATTGTAGCAATTAACTTTGCGAGTCTGTTGTTATTCTATCAAAACAAAAAGGCAAAAACTTTTTTTAACGCTTCCACATTTAAACATTAATCTTAAGTGTACACACGGGTTATGTATTTGCAGTGTTTTTGTGTGTATTTAATTTGCTGAATTAGGGATTTTATTTAGAATATAGGCTTTAGTTTCCATAATTTCAACATATAACTTCTCCATTCTCTTTTAATGATCCTCTCCTTCACCAGGTATGACATCAGATACGAAAAAGAGGATTTCCTGTTGAGGATTAAGAAAGCATCAGTCAGTGATCAGGGGACCTTTACGTGCACAGCAGAGAACCGCGTGGGTAAAGCAGAAGCCTCTGCATATCTGACTATCAGAGGTGGGTAACTGTGGTCTCATGTGTGGCAAAGCTCATAACTTGTCTGATATGCTGTATACTTGTTTCTCCCAAAGCAGGCCACAGGACAATCAGGTCTTTATTGCCTACTGTATAAACGTTATCGCCCCCCAGCTGAAACACTGGGCATGGGTTTTAGCTTTTCTTTCATATGGGAGGCTGAAGTGGTTGATTGCTCTGAATTCCCAACTAGGCTCCAGATAGGAACAATTTCACTGGCTTTAAATGAACTTTAAGACTTGTGCTTGGGAGAGCCTCAATCCCCTTTTAACCCATTAACCCAATATTTGTTCCACATTAATGGGAGTTTGTGATTACAAGAAAATTGCTGATACATGAAATGAAAAATGCAGCTAATCCAAGTCATATATTATGTAGTTCATATTATTTTATATAAAATTCTAACAATGTATGTTACAATTGGCAAACCATTAACATGTCATTATCCAAAGAGTACGCAGAAATTGCATCATGCTTGGTGTGGATGTAGCATGCCACAGCCTTGTAATTCTGTGGCTGCAGGTTTGAGCTCATGGGTATCTGGTGTAAAATCACACTTTTCATCATTTCACATTGGTATATGTTGAGTAAACTTTAGGCATAGGCTGGAGATACTGATGACATTATGACATTATGTGCAAAACCCTCACAGCTTCACTTTATATTGATACTGAACAAAATTAAAACAATTAAAATAAAAAATGCATCACATAATTGCTTTATTTGTAAACCAAAATGGAACTATCTACTGCTGCCTAAATGATAACACACATAGCTAGGACAATGATCATAACAGCTAATGTAAGATGCCATTAGTGTCATCATTAATGTTGACTGATGTGTATTTTATTTGTGACAGATATACATAGAGTCAGGCTACATAAGTGAACATGTTGACAATCACTCTTTAAAATCAGTGTCAGATAATCTATGTACTCATCCCAATGAGTTTGAATCTGAGAGTTATTGCTATTTTGAAAATCAAGGTTGAAATATACATTTAATCAACTTGTGCTTATATGAAAATGTCCAAGTATTGTAAATAAATGTAAAATCAGAGGCTACTCAAACACCAGAAACTCAGCAGGCTACTTTAAATGTGATTAAAAAATACATAGACAAAGATGAAAGACAAAACCACATAAAATAATAAACAGCAGCTGTATATGCAGATTAGTAACATACTATGCTTTGTTTTGCTTTTTGCCAAGTAACATTGCGACCCTGTCAAGCTAATGCTAAGAAGTTAGGTATCCAAGCAAGCCTATTCTAAACTGTTTATTAGACTGGTGGACGTGTTAGCATTATTAGCTTATTTTATATCAATTTTCATTTTAAAAGACTGATAAGAGTTGCTCCTATGGTAGCCAAACTATGACATCTCTGTTTTTTTGCCATAAAATATAGTTTAAAACAGTCAACTTTTTTTTTGCTTTGTTTGTTTTGTTTGTTTCAGCAAGAGGAACAGTTTAGAGCAGGGAAATGGACTTTTAATGTTGCATTTTGCACTTTACTGCTCCAACACACCTGACCTAGTGATTTAATTATCTTTTGAAGTTCTGCAGAAGACTGTTAATCCCCCATTCAAATCAGGTGTGTTGGAACAGAGAAACTTCTAAAACATCCAGAATGGTGGCCCTCGAGGACCAGGATTGGACTCCTCTGGTTCGGAGGAACTATTTTTATCCACCATATCTGACACCTCCAGCAACATTTGGGGGAAAGAGGCAGCAGTGCTACAAAATGACTGTCTGTGACATCTCACAAATACAAATTTAAAAGATCAAAAATATTGTTTTTTTATGTGATTTTGACACATTGGTATAGTAATAATGATAGTGTTCTTCTGTCATATTGAAATGCTATATAAATTTGTGTTGAGATGATTCAGTTTTGTATATTCTAAAAACTGTCTTAAGCACCCAGTTAGATTTTTCCCTAATTTAACAAACATGGTTGTTTTTAGAATGAGTAATGTGTGAATTTTATTTTATTTTATTTGTATTTTTATTTTTATTATTTTAGTATTGGTTTGATTTCCCATATTGGGATAAGGATTAGCATCCATGCCATCACCCACTTTGGTGACTGAGCATTACCATCCCTGTTCCAGAACTTCATGGATGAAAACCCAACTCCATTTCATTCATTTCTTTTTTTTTCCTGTCCTGCTGTTCTGCTCCTCTGCTTTCTTTTTTTCTCTCTGCGTTGTGTGTCAATGTCACCCCCACCATTGTTGTCACCAGCTCGTCCAGTTGGTAAGTAAGAGGTGGTCCCATTGTGCATGCCTTATTCTTTTTTTTCTGTTTCCAATCACACGTGTTGAGTATGCATGCGCTGTTGTGGCATTCCACAAACTCAACCACTAATTTAATTTTAGACCTATCAACATCAACCTCTGAAAAACTATGGGTTTACAACATCAATCTTTTTTCAAGTTGGGGATTTTACAGTATTTGTGCCTAAATATAATCCTCCTGGTGTTCTTGGGTTAAAATTACCTCTGGGGCTTTCATTTTAAAACTGAGGCCTCTTAAGATTGTTTTTTTTTACACAAGAGCTGCAGGAGGGTTAAAACTGCAATAATAAATTTCAAATAAATAAAGAAAATGTGTCAGTGTATATTTTATTTCATTGTTTTTAGCTAGATAAGACGGGCAGCAATAAGACATAGAAAACACCCAGTGCATGAACCCCTTTTAGCTTGCTGCTTGACATTCAGAAGAAGAGTAGTCCAACATCAAAAGCACTCTTAGAGACCTCTTCAAACATGCTGATATTGTCTCATGGTTTAATTTATCTTTCAAACTCAGAGGCACCTCAGTTTGTGGTGCGACCTCGGGACCAAATTGTGGTTCAAGGACGAACGGCGACTTTTCCCTGTGAGACTCGAGGAAAACCTCAACCTACAGTCTTCTGGCAACGAGAGGGTAGCAAGGTTAGCACAACATTTTCAAAAAGACCAAGAGCTTACAGTAGACATATCATGCTTTTAAATCCTCTTTTGACATGTAAATCAAATAGTTGGGGTCTATTCTAGTTTGATAGAGGGGGTTGCTAGCTATGCAGAAATGTTTTATTTACAAATGAATTAAAATGTATCAACAATGGAAGACTTGTCCATCCAGTCTTACATGTTGGAGCCTGACCCACTTTCAGGCAATTTTGTTGCTAATAATTTGACACAATAGTTCAGAAAACGTCATAGAAAACAGACAAAACTAAACAAATTGAAAAAAATATGACCCAAAAAGATTATGAAGACATCTTTGCAGAACCGGGAGAGACTAAATTCAAATTTGCTGTGACTCCAAGTACACAACAAAATATATTTAATGACTACAAAAGTGGAATTTGCACATGTCCCATTTAAGGTAAAATATAAAATTTATAAAATTTAAGTGGACAAAGACTTAACTAAAAGGATCAAACCAGTTCACAACAGAACACAGTTCTGTTCCACATATCTATAATGAAGTGTTCATTTATTATCAATCTGCATCAGACTGACAAGCCAATTCACTTAGTAAGAGACAATGTCATGTGCTGCATTAGCATCATTAGACATAATGGAAGCCGGCTAATGTCCTTTCCTGTCCGTCAGCTGGTCTGCCTGGGGTGCAGAGGCACACAACGCCGATGCCACAATTTTATGAGCGCAAGTGCAGGTTATCACAGCAGGATTATTATTCTGGTGGTAAATTGCCTTTCTGACTGAGCATGAAAGAGACATCGACCTACATTTTTAACTGAATTGTATTTATTTGTTGGTATATTAAGTTTGAAAGGCACATTTTTAAAGAAGTACTTATTTATTCAATATCAGCTGTCACCAAAAATGTAACTGTGGAATTATGTAGACTCACTCATTCCTCAGTAAAAATGTTTTTGACCTTGTACTATGTATATGTACAGTATATTGCAACTATTAAAGCCTTGTGGCATGAATAAGACAGCTTGATTGTTTTCCAAAATGGAAGGTTTGTCAAAATTCAACACAACATACAGAAAATGTTAGATTTAACTTACCCTAGCCTAGCAATGTAGACATCAGAATTTACTAGAACAAAATGCATATCCATATGGGTAAAACAAGTCACCTAGTTATAACTCTTCAATGTTTTTGCAGGATCTTCTGTTTCCCAGTCAGCCAGCACAGGGGGACAACCGAGTGTCAGTGTCCGTTAACGGAGAGCTGACCATCTCATCTGTACAACGCTCCGATGCCGGCTATTACATCTGCCAAGCCCTCACTGTGGCAGGAAGCATCATGGCCAAGGCCCAGCTGGAGGTAGCAGACGGTAAGGCAGGATGCAAATGCAAAAACACACCATCCTCATGTATGGCGCTAGTAAAAGGTCTACATAACAAAGTGAGCTAAAACATGAGTCCTGCTTCTCAAAGTTATGTGACTTATCATCTTCATGACAGTAGAATTAGCAGATTGCAAGATAAGTTATAAACCAAAGGATGGATTTTAACTTTTTTTAGACAACTGAAGATAGTTTAGTCAAGACAATATATATATATATATATATATAGCTAGATAAGCAGATTATGAGCTAAAATTTTGTGAGTTAAGCAATGTCATTCACAGCACAAACTTTTAGCATGCTTAATATTTTTGCTTTTGAAGAACAACATACTGTATTTTAATAAAATTATTGAAAAAAATATTAGATTTACAGATACTGCTCATTATGTTTGAAATCAATCCAATTCAAAATGACCATCATAGTTAATGACCCTTGGCGAATACAGTATTGGCTTTAATTTAGCCAATTTTACCGATATTGAGCTAAATTTAGTATGGTAAGAGTCATCCTCAACGCATACTTCAAGCTCAAACAGATCAAGTTCGATCTTGCATCCATGCTTAAGATAGTACATTCAATTTTGAACATAGCTATAATTTTGTCCCCTCTCACAGATGGCCCTAGTTTAAAATTTTGTCATGCAAATCAGTGGTTTTTGTACATGCCTTCAAGAAATATGGGCTTAGTTGTTATAGTTATAAGTAAAACCAACAAAGTAACATCATTTAATAAGGTTTAGATTGTTTAGCAATGGATGTTTCATCCGTAAAACCATGATAAGTACTTTCATCATAGTTAATGATGATCATTTTTTTTTTTATTTATGAAGACTTCTTGGCTTTATAATTATACAAAACACACACACATTAGCTTTCACCACATCAGACAGTGAATGACAGTTTCTGCCCACACTTAGTTTACTGACAAAAATCTGTAAGTTTGAAAAGCCAGTCACCCACAATCCTTCTTTTATTTACACTACCTTGTGACAGAATATGTAAAAGCCTGAAAAAAAACGTCTTAAATAAAACTGTCTACTCCATGGAGAGACACTTTGCACTTTTTTTTAAGACAAAGCTTTAATGTCAACATTAAGTGCTCTGTCGTTGCCAGCTGCGAGCTGTTTATGTCTCTTTCCATTTGTTTCTTGGCTTTTTTCTCCCACACATTATACAATTAACATTTGTCGAAGTGTTTTTTTGTTGGAATTTTCGAGAGGAAATGACTTGTGTTCTGTCACTCAGAGAAGATGGATCAATATCAAAAATGTTAGGTGGCGAATGAGGGAGATGAGAAATGTCTTTAACAGATGGGTGTAAACAAAGATGGATAGTGATTTGGCGAAATGCCCAGGGGAGTTTTGGAGGCTTGTACAGTGCCATTTCAAGCATTATTTAAGATTGGTAAATTGGCACAAGTAGCAGTGTTTAAGAGGGTCTGCAAGTGTAGGAAAATCTTTAAACGTCCAGATTTTAACTTGTCTTTACACTCTCCTAACACTCCTAAAATGACACCCTGGAACAGTTAATTTAAATGTGAAAAGATGAGTTTTCTGGAGCTTGAAAACTGCACAAGAATCGTGCCATATATTTGAACAGACTCATACTATTCAAATATATATAACTCAAAAATATAATGAAGCCCTGATTATGTTCTAATGCTGTGTTCAGATCAAATGTGGTTTGAGCTTCTGGGGCATCTGGTTTACATACAAAGTCTATGGTGGATGTGCTTCAAGGGGTCAGAAATTGTTGCAGTGCATTTCACACATCTAGTGCTACATGTTTTGAATCATTTTGAGTTTTTGATGCATGTACAGCACACAGTGTTGTATAAAGTACCACAAAGTGATACTTGAGTAAACATACAAGTATCTTACCAAAAACTTACTTTGGTAAAATTTCAAGTCAGTACAGTAACAAAATATAATCTGCAGTATGTCAAAAGTGGCAGGTGCTTGAGATGGAAAATCTGAACTTTTGCAGCAGGATGCTGAGTGTCAGCTATTCAGAGGGACTCCACTTTTTGACATAATGGCACATTTTCTGAGGGAATGGTCTCCTGAATGCTGCCTATGAACGTGAGACAGATGGACAGGCACTCTCCAGCTGAAATTGAGTGCCTGTAGTTGGTGTCCTGGGAGGAGATGCAGGTACCGATGCAGGTCAACAGCTAGTCAAACTTAATTGGCTTGGGTCAAAAATAGTGCTGAAATCGACCCTCGTCAGTGTGCAGCACCTGGTGTGGCGAAACTCATCAAACTCAGAACGCCTCTTAATTATCAGGTAAATCCAGACATGGCTCTGAGATGCCCAACAATGTTCCCTTGCTTTCCGTAAACAAAGCCAAGCCGCTCTCTCAATTTTATCCATCATTGATTGTACAAAGAGACCAGCAGAGCAGAAGAAAGCAACCATAAGTCAAGAGGCTCATCTTAAGGCGAGTCTTTCCACACTCTGATCAAATGTGTGTCCAGAGCAATTTTGACGCTCAACATGAGTGTCTGACATGGAAGTGCACAAGCATCCAACTTGGGACATTGGGCACATTTTTGACACGTGGAACATGTTCAGTCTGAACACAGCATTAGAGTACCCACAAATTATGTAAAAATGCAAATATTGGATGTGGTCAAAAAAAAGGCCTACATCTTGTTTGGGTGGCATTGGCCTAGTGAAAACCAGACACGTTTAAGCTTTGTTTCAACAGAGTGTCTGGACTATTGGCTGACTCAAACTGTTAAATGCAACTTTGCAGGGTTTCATTGTAAATACATTGTGCTTTTGATGGTGTATCAACTGTATGATGATGTACTTTCCTGTTTGTGATTAAAGAGAGCTGGGTTGATGCAAAATAGGTCTAAGAAATGTCAATAAAAATGTGAACCTGTGTCATCATTCTTCATCAGTTCTTTCATGTCTTTCTAAAACTTAAAAAAGCTAACTCCCCAAGGACAAATAAATGAAAAAAAAAAAAAACTAATTTTTGGTAGAATTATTTTTCACATCAGTCAACTCTTGTTGGTTTTGTTTAGATTTCTCCAGCGATGCAAACAGTTCCGCCTCTTTAACTGTCACACACAGTTTTGCTTACATTGCAGTATGCTGCACCTATGCCTGCTGTTCTGCTTGAGATGCTGTTTTGCTCATTGTGTTAAGGGAGGTGTGATGAAGGATAAGACAGTGGGAGCCTGCTGTACACACTTGTTGTGAATGGAGACACACCTGATAACAGCAGCGAGCAGCAGTGAGGAAATTGGAAACGAGGAGTAGTTACAAGGCTTGGAGATATTCAGCACTGCAGAAATAACTGTTTCAGAGTGCAGAGGCTGTTTCCTGGATGGTACAAGAAGCTTAAAAAAATCGGAAGAAATGTTTTGTTGTTCGGCCTATTTAGAGTTTAGTTTTATTTTGTGTTCATTGAAGTCAGGGTGGAGGGGCTCTTTCTGGAGAATGGGACGCAGCAGTGAATCATAGGGGGATGAGGGAGGACAGGCATCGAAGTGTGAGAGGTGTTACAAAAAAGCTATGGTAATTAGCACCGTGGGTAAAGCATTGTTAATCCTCACCAAGTAATTAATGCTCCAAGGTGTGATGCAGTGTTATGAGTTCACCGCCACACCGTGGAAGGGGTTCTCAAAACAGTAACTTCCTCTCACAACAAATCCATCAGGCTGAACACTAACGCCTTAGACGTGCAGCCACTAATGTAATTATTGCAGGCGCAAATTAACACCTTGTGATAAGGGCAGCTACCTTTCTCACACCTCTTGACAACTAGTTAGAAAAGAGAGCTGTTGTTCTGTTCCCACCCTGTGAAACCAAAAATGACAGTGTTTGGAAAGGGTTCTAGTAATTGTACCTGTTTCTTTTTTTATTATTCTTAGCCTCAAAGGACCGCCCACCACCTATCATCCAACGGGGCCCATCCAATCACACGCAGGCACAAGGAGGCATGTCCCTACTTCAATGTCAGGCGTCAGGAGATCCACAACCTACAGTCACCTGGCGGAAGAATGGAGCAAATCTACTAGAAAAAGACCCACGCTTTTCCTTGCTGGACCATGGCAGCCTTCAAATCCAGAATACAAGGGTGGGTCACAGTTGAGTAGAAATAATAGACACCAGAGATGTTTTCTGTCTTATTGATAATAAAGCATCAGACATTTTATTAAAAAAATGTCTGTTGTTCTAAAATTGTTGTAAAATTCTTAATAATACACCCAGGTATTGTCAATTAACTTGGCATATTATTATCAATTAAATGTTGGCAAAACTCGAAAAAAGATGAAGAGGAAAAAGACTGAAACCATCATTTAATTCGACTCTGTGTTAAATTGTTTCCTAACAAGCATTTGGCTGAGGAACAGTAGGTTTAAATGAACATCCCTTCCAGTTGGTCAGGCCTGAAGTGGCAGACATAATTACAGAAAACAAGTTTCACTCACAATTGTTCTATCAAGTCCTGTAACATGATGCAGCAGATGGTTTGTTACACAGAGTGATCTCCAGAGTCCTCCGAATAAACCATCTGGAAAAAGCCACTTTCAAAAAATACTTAGAACGTGATTAGATGAAGCATCTGGTGATCACTGTCTGTCACAAGTGAACCTCTGCCTATCAGATCAGCAACTGTCACAGTGAAAAAACAAGCCTGTAACTGACAACGATTTGTACCAATATTTTGTGATTTGGTAACAAATTGATGTTTTGAGTTCTGGCGGATTTGATTTTTTTACGATCATGAAACTTCAGCAAAAAATACAACACAATTTCAGGTTAACAGGACTTAGGTGTCATGTATAAAAAGAGTGGGTAATTAACTCGAGGTATTTAAAAAAAAACAGACATTTGCTAAATCTCCTGCAAACGGTTCTGCTTTAAACAGATCTAGGAGTATATCTAGTAACCTAAGTGTGAGTGAGGGGGTGGATGTGTGGCTTCTCTCAGTAACAACTTTGACTGTCACACAAAAGCAAATTTCAAGATTTTTTTTTCTGCATCAGGGCATGTGTTGTACATTAAGGGAAAGAGAAGGATTTGTTCCTCTGACAGATGATGTCAGCTGATCGTAATTCAAAAGGACAAGTGCAGTCAGTTTGCTTTTAAAAGATGAATAGCAAGTATTGATTTTTATGAGTCGTTAAACGCTGCTTTTTAGTCTGTTTCTCTGAGACAGCAGCTAGACTCAAGGACTCGACAACAGAATGTGGCGAGAGGAGTCTAAAAGGGGCAGAATAATGGAGTATCTGCAACACACAGTGTCTTGTCACGGTGTCAAAGTGCCCTTCTTATGTCACTCGTCTGCTTTCTCTTGAGAGATAGCTTCGCTGCCAGCGACTCCTAAGGCACTGCCGGTATAAAATACATTGTCATATCTCCTATTTCCTGCATCAGCACCAGTGATGGTAATGCTGATGGCTTCGGGAATGGCGTGTGACCATTATTGGAGGAAATCAATTAAGAAAATTAATGTTAGCTTTTAATGGGGTCTCTCTTTTTTCCTCTTTCATTGGCCAACATTAAAGTTTCCTCTCATCCACTCTACAGATTTTCTCGTGCCAAAGGCAGGCCAATGGAGGTTAATGCATTTTTACTGTAGTTCTAGCTGCAAACCTCCTTCAAAAGCTGAGACTGATGCAAGAGCTTGTAGAAGCCATCTGGGATTACAGTTACAAAGGCTGTTGCACTTAGATGAACACTTTAACAAAGCTCAACCTGAAAGCAGTATCATGTGTGATACGGATCTACAGAAAATATTTATAGGGGAGTTTAATAGGCACAACAGCTTCTGAGTCTTTGTTTTGTTTTGTTTTTTTACTGCGGGTTTTATCTTTGTTGCAACACTGGAATTAGTCTGTCATGTAGCACATTAAATATGGGCTGAATGGTAGTATTATGTGTTTCCTTCATCAGCTGTCTGATTCAGGGTTGTACACCTGCCTTGCTACAAGTTCCAGTGGAGAAACATCTTGGAGCGCCTACTTGGACGTCAAAGGTTTGTTTGAAAGATTACAGCAGCTACAAACAGAGCATTGCTCAACCGTGTTTGCCTTTGAGAGTATTCATTTAGTCGCTCGTGTTTCCTCAGACTCCACTGACCTTGTGGACTTCATGTCTCACAACACGAGTGCCCTCCCGGGGCCCCCCTCCAAGCCAGAGGTCACCGACGTTACCAAGAGCAGCATCTCATTGTCATGGGAACCGGGGCCAGAGGGAGGCTCCCCAGTGTCCTCCTATGTCATCGAGGCCTTTGGGTATGTCTGTGACCTATGGCTACAAGCAACATGTTAGTGACCCAAACTTTCATAGCACTAACAGATGTGGGTATGGAAAATGCCCTAAGGAAAGTAAAAATGTTAGGATGGTTTCAAGCAAAAACTTGCTTAAATGTAATTTAAAGTCTTAAAAATGATGAGTGATAACTTTTTGGCAATTAAACAGTCATAATGAAAAAAAATTCACTGATAGGCACAAATATTTTTTGCTTTTATTTCCCCCTTCATAATTGTTGCACTGAATGCCCTTTTTTTTTTTTTTTGTAATGACAGGAAATATTTCAAACATTTTCATCTGTTTTTTTTTTATTTTATTTATTTATTTATTTTTTTTTACATTTCATTACAGCATGATGTGTTATTTTGGCTAACAACCACCTGGGAACATCTGTTTTTTTTTTTCAACCAGAAGACATTTTTCATGATTAATCTGATTTGTTTGTTTATCTATTGTAGTCAGTCAGTGAGCAACAGCTGGCAAACAGTGGCAGATCATGTGAAGATGACTGAGTTTATGGTCAAGGACCTTCGACCCAACACTGTCTATTTATTCATCATAAGAGCAGTCAGCAGTCAAGGACTGGGGGATCCAAGCCCGATGTCTGAGCCGGTCCGAACCCAAGGTATGAAAACAAAAAAAAAAGACTGTACTGACATAAATAACTAGTGTAATATTAAATGTGCTGAGCTACACTTATTTCTTCCTCAGATATAAGTCCTACTGTCCAAGGAGTGGACCACCGACGTGTGCAAAAGGAGCTGGGGGATGTTGTGGTCAACATGCATAATCCTGTAGTCCTTAGCTCCACTTCAGTGCAAGTCACATGGACAGTAAGTGCTCACAATGGTTACAAAATAAAAAATACAAATTATCAGGAGATTTAGTTTACCTCTGGTTTTGGCTTCTTGGAGAACTGTATTCTTTGCGCACAACTGTTTTGGATAGCTGGCACACACATGGTGAGCATAATAGGAGAAATTCATGGTTTGAACACCTGCTGTTGCATCAGTGTAGATTGGTTTGAAGTTATGCAGGAATTAAGACTAATGTTTCTGTTCAGGGCAAATAAATCACTATTAGATGTTGCATGTGCCATGTGTGGAAGTGGTTTGCACACAAAGGTTTTTTTTTTTTTTTTTTTTTTTTTTCAGTGAATGATATTTTATCAGGTTGGCAAGGACTTGCTTCAATTTTCTGCAATGGCTGGTCAATGGCAAACTGTTGAGCTTTTAGGCTGATACAATGATGTAAACTGTGTTTGCAGCAAATCCAAAGTGATACAACGTTATGTCTTTACTTGTTTATTGGTGATTGATTTGATTTGATTTGATTTATTTATTTAACAGGAAAAGATTATTAAAAATCAAGCCTGACTCAGCATTATTGCTATTGTACAGCAGGTTCCTGTTCTACAGTCCATAAAACACTCAGAATTACAGCATCACAATCACATCATTATACACCAAGGACACAAAGACAAACAAGCATACCAAATTTCAAAAAGGCAGCATTTGCAAAATAGGACGTCTAAATATGAGCACAACAAAAAGTGTCCAGCAGATGGCAGACAAGATTCTTCTTAAAGGGCTGTAGTTTTGAAATGGACTTTATGTTTTGAGGAATGTCATTCCATGCTTTAGTATAAACATAGAAGAAAGACCTCTGGCCGTAACAGTTTTTTAAAAGTTGGTAATATCAGTTGTCCTTTTGTAACAGATCTAGTTGAATGACCACTTCCAGAATTTGATTTGGGCAGCAATGCACAGAGAGTTCCATAATTGGCACCTTGGAAGATCTGAAAATATAAATTAATACCACTATACAAAACATAATTCTGAAAAGTCAAGGCATCAGGTAATGAAAGAACTGTACAGAGATGAGTCCAACCAGGAAGTTTTTTATGAATTTTGTAGGCCCTGTTGTAGAGCCTAACTATGGGTTCTAAGATTTCATTTGTTGTAAGAGACCAAACAGGTAAACAGTACGACATGGTTGAGAGTATAATGGCATGAAGATAGATATTTGAAACAGAAGATGTCAGATTGGATCTAATTTTTGAATAAACGTGTAATTTCTGTTTCAACTAAGTGGTTAAGACTTGTACATGATCACAATAAGTCAAATGAGAATCCAAAGTAATTCCAAGATATTTGATAAGAACACTTGGTCATTATCAATCATTCCATATTAAATAGTGTTACAATCTTGCAAGCAAAAAATGTTTGAATGCTAATGAAGTGGCTGTTAGCACAGGTCCTGAATGAAAAATTATATTTTTGCATTCTTGTGTATTTTTATGTATTTATTTTTTAATGCTGAATTTTAGTTTGACCATATTTTGCAGAACAAAAGGGCAACGTGAAAAAAAAAAAGTATGTTATCTTTATTTATCTAAGACGGAATYTGTGTTGGCTTAATAGCATTTATTCCAATTTAAGGAAAAATATATAAAAAATATAGGTTGGTTTTAAAGATAAGTGCATACTAACCAATCATATTCTGTTAAATGCGATTCCGAAGCCATTTGCTTTATTATATTTAATTAATTTTTGAACCTGAATCATTTTGTTCAGAAAACAAATAGATACCAATTTTAAAAAGACAAACTATCAAAAATAATTTGTTTGAAGTGGTTCAATACGATTTTTTTTGTTTTATTTTTAAGCAACAGCATAACACTTTGAAGCTTCCTCGTGCTTCTGCCCCACAAGTTTTTTCGTAGTAGTGTACATTTTGCTTTTATATGAAAGGTCAAAAGACAAAAACAAAATATCAGTGATGTTTTTTTTATTTTTATTTTTGAGGCTAAACTCTGTAGAAGTACTCAGGAACATATTACCAACATAACAAATTCATCTCACCTTTTTACGTTTCCTCTGCTGCTTCTTGAAGTGTGTGACTAACTAAGCATGCATTTACACTAAAAGAGGGACAAAATCTGAATACTGATGCAAAGCAGTTTGCACGCAGATGTTCGACACCTCCCTCATCATCAATTTTGCATCTTCTCCTCTCCTCACAGGTGGAAAACCCATCGCAGTTTATTCAAGGCTATCGTGTTCTGTACCGGCAGACTTCCGGACTGCCCTCCCCTGGGCCGTGGCAGATGCAGGACGTGAGGATTGCCTCGGAGAGAGACGTGACTCTCTCTGGTTTGAAGAAAGGCATTGTCTATGAGATTAAAGTGCGGCCGTATTTTAATGAGTTTCAGGGAGCAGACAGCGAATCCATGACTGCACGCACCATGGAAGAAGGTAAGTGACTATAAATTTAATTTCTGATAGAAATCTGTGATGAAGTGGATGCTGGGTATAGTTATTAATCCATTAGCAGATGTTTATTCATTATGTTTCTACCTACTTTATTTAGTTGCTACTAAAAATGGCCTTTATGGCTAGATTGTTATGAATAATGGCATTTCACGTCCTCCCACCCACACGGACTTGCTGCTGCAAGTGCCACCTCCCCTGTGTGTGGAAACAGGTCTCCCAGACAGCACAGCGGGGTTCTATGACAACTCAAAGCCTCTGGGGGATGGAGGGCTAGGGGGAGTGCAGAAAATGTCTCTTGTGACTTAAGCTCAGCTCTATTTCTCTGCTGAGCTCTGCACCCCTGCTGCCACGTTCCTGTCCAGACATACATTATATGACCCCCCATGGCCAACACTCATAGCAGTGTGCGTTATGGGTGGTGATATGTCTCAGTGTCGTCACGGTTCTTCTGTTGAAGGAGTCATTGAAAATGAAACTAATTTGTTCTGTGCAAAATGTCTGTGGCCCAGTTTTCACGTTTCATTTAGTAGGGGTGTAACAATACATACAGTATAACTATAATGGTTCATACGTAGCATAGGTGTGCACAAGCAAACAAATAATTAGTCACAGGAAATCTTTACACTTACCTAAAAAAGGTGCACTTTTTTTTCTTTTTCTTTTCACTTTTTGATAATTACTACAAAATAAAATGGTTAATAAAAGATATGGCCCAAAGGAATCTTCACCAAAGGAAAAAAAAAACAAAACAATGAATTCAAATCCAACACAAGAACTTGAAGACTTGTATCTTTATTTCAAATTAAATAGTTTGCAAAACATTTGTGTGACCCACATAGTTGCAGTGAAGAGTGAGAAACAGATGTACTGGATTCCAAAAGCATCATAAACCACATGCTTTATAACCTTCTATTGTCTAATACATTGTGTCAAATACACTGCAATGCTTAAGTGTATTTCATGAATAAAAAGCAGACTAGCATTTAGCCAACTGAGTGGCTAAGTATGACTATGTTTTCATCTGCACTTTTATTTATTTAATGTAAAATTTAGACCATATTAACTCTGTAGTGAACCATAAGTTGCACAATACCCAGGAGTAAAATGCAAACAGACAAACTCAAAAAAGATTAAAAAAAGAAAAAAAATAGAACTTGCCCAAAACATTTGTGTTTAATGATAAGAAAAAAAAATAGATCAACCAATGTAAGAACAAGCTAAGTTGGTGGGTACAGCTGGTGGAAAAAAGGAACGTTAACCTCCATGGAGCCCAATTAAAGTGGCCACACAGGATCACTTCAGGTTTTTACCAGCTGGGTCACATGGGATCCCAGGAACAAAGCATCTTTGTACTGGAACAATTGTATTGAGCTACCTGTTATCCAAAGCCCATGGACAATTTTGCTAAAATATTACCAAAGCAAAGCATTAGTTATCCTTCAAAAGCATGTTGAGAATGTAGTCCCACTTTAATTAAACCCTATCAGAGTGTCTCTCTGGGTATCACATCTCAAATATACCAATGTCTCCTACTGTATAAAGAAAGAAGTGATATACCAGGACTAATATTCTTTACAGCTCTACAGTATATTGTTAGTGCAAGTAAGGATGGAGAGATTTTGACATCTGTTGGAGCCACAGGCTTTCCAACACTGCTGATGGCAAAATGGAAGAAATAACACTGCATTAAATTTCCATCCAGGTGTAACATTAAATATTTTTTATATACCGGTAGTAGGGCAAAGTTTAGGCTGTGTGTCTACACAAAATATAATAAAAAGTAAAGTTATGACATTTTATTTTATTTTGTAACACATCTTGTTTGACACTGATACAGACATATTTCCTGAATCACTATTATTTTCTTTAATTTTTGCAGCAAGAGTCTTGTTGCTTTAGATTTTTATAACAAGTTAATCAACTTGTTTTTTAATTATATTTAATTGCAAAGTTGTGAGTAAACCTGCAAATATTCAGTTTAAAACACAGTTAAAAAATACCTCCAGCAACATTGTTCATCAGTCTGATATACATAAATAAGGACCTTCGATATTTTTTGCTCTTATGGCTGGTTCTAGTAATGTAATATTGAGTCATTACTGGTATTGTAGGCATCTCTCACCCTGAGGGATTGTTCTCATACATTAAAATAAGAACACTTAATGTTTCCTGTCTCCTAATACAAACCTTTGAGTAACTGGAAAAACCTCAGTCTGTTTACTTGAAGCAACATCACTGAAATTACATCTAGAGGGAAAACCAAAGGTCACTTGAGTGATGGTGCATTATTATTATTTGATATTTAGCAGCGAAGTTTTATGCTGAATCACTTTTATGGGGTAGTCAGAATGTGGAAAACCAATAAAACATCTAACAGAAAGCATGTTTTAGGCATTGCATTCTTTTTTTATTGTTTGGAAAGTGATATACAGCAACTATTTTTCATAAAAACAAAAGTTCTAAAGTAATTCTGCCAAGACATTTTCACTCATTTGATGTTCTAAAGCGGGATTATTATGCAAAATCAACTTTTTGTTTTATACTGTGTTATATTGTCATTCCTTCATCAAAAACCATACCCAGAGTGTTGCTTTGACTCCATGCATATTTGAGAAATCCTTGAATCTCCTGGTAGCCAGCTACGATTGCTGATACAAAGCACCACAGCTCCACCCTGGAGCTCAATCTCCAGCCAAGCTCACACCCCACAGAACACCTCCTGCCCTGAAGCATTGTTTGAAAACGTGCTGAAGTGGGAGTGTCAGAAACAGTAGCAGGTTCTTAAAAAGACAGAGACCAAATTCAAGGCATTTATAGTGCTATAATTCAAAATCAAATTCATTTTTGATGTATACAAAATTTGCCAATCAACTAACAGTAACATAGTTACTTTATTGTGATATATAATTGAACAATGTGCCTGGAAAATACAAAAAAACCCACATTTAATACAATGGAGTTATATGCAACAAAACACAACAGTTAAAATCAGTATAGCCAAGTTTCAGTACAATTATTCAGAAAGCCTCAGTATATTTAACCCATAATTTCCATACTAATCAACCACTTAGTCAACCATCATGACCTTTATGAATTAGAATATTTTATCTTTTAGAGAAGGTCCTCAGCTGTATTTTGCTTCTGAATATTGTAAATAAGCAACATGATGTTATTTTCAACATAATACAGACTAGCAATTTTCTTCCCTGTAATTTTGCAAGTTTCCTTTAATTTGTCATCTGTAATTCATAGAAGTAATATGCAATCTTTCATTTTCCCAGACTGCAAAAAAAACATATCACTTTGCTTTGTACACTATAGAGGTGTCCCAGTGTACAGGATAGTAGATTTGTCTGAGCCCATCTGACAGTAATTGTCTCAGAAAGTCAGTGCTGTCTAAAATAAAGTAGCTGAATGTAGATATGCTTCAAATGGGTTGAGATGATTTGTGAATTGTAATAAAAAAGATGACATCGCATACGGCTGATTTAGCTCCTTTGTATTGTCAGACTGTCATTTTTTGCAGGCATCTCATACATGTTTAGAGCTTCCTTCTTGGGCACAAGTTAAATCACTCAATATGCTGTTTCCACACACCCCATCAAACTAAAATAAATGTTTTTTTTTTTTTTTTTTTTTTTACTATTGTGTTAACTGAGCCAGATGCTAGGCTCTCCATATATCCTTGCCTCATTAGATCCTACCTGATAAAACATTAACTATCTTGCCTTTGTGAAACACTCTGCCCATGTTTGTGCTTTATGTTGGCCATTTACAGAACCTGGTCCATCTGTTTATTCACAACAGCAGTCTAGCCAAGAAAAAATGCTCCACCTGTTTTTGGCCTCTCTGCACAGCTTTAAAAATTCCTGCCTCCTCATGCAGTGTGGATATACTGCAGCAAGCTTTATTATTTTACGGCCTGTTAATTGGGGTCAGCGTAGTTCCTTCATCAGCTCGAACACAACATAATGTTAGCTGTTGTGGGATTTACGAGAAGCTAACACTGTGTGGAGATGATTTGTTTAGCTGCGCAGAACTGATGTTTGACACTTTTTTGCCTTCATCTCTTCACATCTGACCTGTCCATTTTAAGCCAATTTGACAAATTTAAAAGCTAATTTATCAACAAGGATGGTTAGATTTTTTTGGCACCGATGAGCTCTTCATTTGAGGTGACAAACCATCTAATATTCTTCTTGGCACAGTAACTTACGCTCATATGTAAACTTGCTGATCTGCTTGGAAGGGTTGTCATTTTTGCAATTAGAAAAGCACAGTTTGGACCTGTAAAACCTTGGCCTGCATAACTCAGGGACGCTATTAAGATATTGGAATCTAAAACTCAGCGAAAATGAAGTGCTTTAAATTCCATCTGCTGGGGTGGCTTTGAAAATACCATGTTTAAGCTTGCTGGGTGAATATGAATTGAAGTAGTGAGCGAGACAGATCCTGCATTGACAAGATAAAAAAAAAAAAAACATGAGAGAAACATCTGTTATAAGCAGTATAAGTATTTTTTTTCTTGTGTAAATATTTTTTTCCATATCTTTGCCACCCACCCTTGACCTATTAGCACCCAGTGCACCTCCACAGCAAGTGACAGTGTTGACAGTGGGAAGTCACAACAGTACGTCTATCAGCGTTTCATGGGACCCCCCTCTCTCTGACCAACAAAATGGTATCATCCAGGAATATAAGGTAGGTTTAGCTTCCTCTCCCTAAGATTGCAGATGTTCCTCATGTATAATACAACATCTCTCTGAAGTCTGTCTGCTGCTTTGTCAGATCTGGTGTTTGGCCAACGACACACGCTTTCATGTCAACAAGTCTGTGGACGCAACCATCCGTTCCGTTGTTGTCGGGGGGCTGCAGACCGGAGTGCAGTACCGCGTGGAGGTGGCTGCCGGCACCAGTGCAGGGGTGGGGGTGAAGAGTAAACCCCAGCTCATCATCCTGGGTAAATCACTCACACTTCCAAAACTCTGTATGTGTGTGTGTATGCGGGTGGGTAGGGGGTCAAATGAAATAACCTCATAATGGGGTACCTGGGTCTCAATAGCAGATCAGGAGTGTGGAAAAATGATTTAGCAATTTATCGCCCAAGAAGAAAGAAGATTGTGCTTTACAACGCAGACGTCTGCAGAGAAATCAATAGTGATTCATTAAGTGTAGTGTCTGGTAACACTGTGCCAAGTACTGTTCGCCATATCAATAATCCCTTTCAGTATGTGGGCAGCTGGTGCTAACATAGAAGGCAATGTTTTTGTTGGAGCTTATCAGCCCATCACATCTTATGAAATAGCCAAAGGATGCCCTGACTATATGAGCTCCGAATCAATATGGCAGCCTAGGCCAGATGCTCTTCATCTGTGACGTTTGACTGATATATAATAGCACCCTTAACACAAGCAGAAAAAAAGGTGGGGGAAAGCAGGCCTATGGACTGAAGCCTAATGGTGGGGGGGTGATAGAGAATGGAGTTGGGGGTGGGGCTGTTCCTGCTGGAGACTGTGAATCTAATTTCACAGCACAGTAGCTGCAACAGAAAATCAAACTCTGTCAGAGCTGCTGTGTCAATCTCATGTCTCGCAGCTCAAGTTGATAAGTGCACTAGTGAATTGATTAAGTCTATATTGGATGCACTGATGGTGTTTATTTGTTTATTTTTATTGTTTTTTATTATTTTTAGTTTTGCCTCTCTCACTGACCTCACATATTGGTGTTTGAAGTCCAAAAAGCATTTTATTTTGGTTTATCAGCCACTTTTATTTACTGTTTTTACTGAAATAATTCCTGTAGACATGTCCATGCATTTCCGTTTAATTTCTGATTTTTTTTTTTTTTTTACACTGACAGTCTGAACGTGACAAATCTGATTCTGTTCAAATCCGACCCGGGCCTTTTCAGTATGTGGTACTGAATTGGAAACATATCTGATGTTTTTCAAAGTGACTACAGTCTGAATGCACATGTGTCGTATTATCTGACTTTTTCATCAGTGAGGTGGGGTGAAAGATCAATAAAGACACTAACCTCGAGTATCACTGTTTAACTCTGTAGCTCCATACGTCTCCAGCTCCAAAACAAAAGTCCAGTAGCTTTGTCTTTTTCTCTTTTCATTTTTCATGTCCTGGTTGACTGGGAATCTGCAGAAGCATGATCATAATGTCCAACTTCAGCTGCGAACTGTATCGACCCTAAAGTTCGTTACTTGATTTTCAGCCCTTTCTTACAAAAACAAAATGCTTCATCTGAGCATGGGGTTAACATCATTGCCATAGCGTTCACACTGGAGTCTGAAGGATGTTGCATTTAAAATGTTATGTGCCAAAAAATCAGATTTTTTTTTCAAAAAATCAGAACTGAGCATGAAGACCTGAAGTGTGAACGTAGCCCTAGTTTGGCAGGACAGCTAACTAAATCTAAGACGGTTGTGGATCGCTGCCATTTTAAAACAACTCCAATATTCACTTTTTCAAAGTGTTTAATGTAAATGCAATTTATTCAATTTACATTGCGATCACTTTTGCACAACATGGTTATTTTTTGTAGAATTTGATGGGTATTTACAAGTGCAAAGGGAAGCAGAAGCAGCAGCAGCCAGCCTCCTGATGGAATCTCATCAGATTATTACCAGACTAACCATATAATGCAAAATTGATGATGGATTAAAGGTTTATAAGATGGCTTTCAAATGAATCAGCATAAAAATTTGAGATTGGACCAATCCACTTTAGAAGAAGCCTTGCTTGTTGTTAGTTTGTCGATGTAGTCTGAACAAACTGTCTTCCAAAGTGGATGTTGCTGTTTTAAACAAATCCAATATTCAAAACATCATAGTGTTTAAATGCAATTAAAAATGAATGAATGAATGAATGAATGAATGAATGAATGAATGAATGAATGAATAAATAAATAAAACATATATATATCACTGTCAATCCCTTTTGAATCAATATAATATGTGAGCAGGAAGTGCCCCAGGCTGCACAGGAAGTGCTACGGCTAGCTTTTGTTGCCAATATTTGGACTTGCACGTAACCTTAGAATTCTTTGTTTAGGACGATGAAATAACTAGATTTAAAATTATGCTTACTTGGGTCATTTAAGTCACAATGGGCACTTTGGTCATGGCTCTTTATGTTTGTTTTAGGGTATTTTTGGTTTATACTTGGCTTTTAGTTGAGGATGTTCAGAAAGCTGTTCGTGGCAGGTATTATTTTGTTCATAAACTTTTTATACAACTATTGCAAAATGTTTTAGCTGTTTATTTAATAAGATTTCATTTAATCACATCAGGCAGCCTTTTTATTTTTAATTTTGAATCTATTTTCATGCAGGCATAAACTGACATTTAGATATGTTTGTTTGTCTTTGCTGTGTTTCTGCTATGTGTGGTGCCTTCAGGAGGAGAACTGAAAGATGTAATGACAGGATCGGAGGGCAACAATAGCATCTCAGACGTGGTGAAGCAGCCGGCCTTCATTGCTGGCTTGGGAGGGGTTTGCTGGATTGTCCTCATGGGCTTCAGTGCGTGGCTGTACTGGAGAAGAAAAAAAAGAAAAGGACTTAGCAACTACGCAGGTAAAAAAAAAAAAAAAAAAAAAAAAAAAAAAAAAAAAAAAAAAAAAAAAATCAGAAATCTATACAGTTTTAAATCAGCAGAAGATTCTCACAGCACAGTGGGTCTCTTGCCCCCAGCGGAAGCTGATGTCGTCACAGATGTGACTCCATTTGAGGTGGCTAAAATGCAGAACAAAGGAAAATATATTCAGCCCAGATGGAAATAGGGCCTATTTACTTTAATTCACTGTGCAGTGATGTGCATCAGCTGTGCTGAGTTCCATCAGCAGCACACCTCAACACTCTAATACATTCATGCAAGATAAGTAATTTAACATGCCCTTCCATTATCAGAGCTCGGCTGGTGATGTTTGTCTATTAACATGAGCTTCATCTAGGTTTTGGTTTAGAAAATTCTCTTAACATGCCACGAGTCAAACTTGAAGCTTTATGCATTTATTACAGCCAGGCTGCAGCTTTTAGTCTAGAGATTTTGAGGAACGAGCACAATTTCCTTATATATTAAAAAGTTATTTGATTCAGTGTCTTTAGATCAAAAAGCAAACTGTGAGCTTCATTCCAAGACACCAGATTTACATTTGATTTTTTTTACATTTATTTTAAAACATTTTATTTTGTAAACTGTGTTGTTTAAAACACTACATTTATCAAAATGCTATAACATTCTGGTTTTATTTTACATTACATTGTATTGCTTAACCAAAAGAAATCCAGTCTGGAATTTGGTAGACTTATTAAATAAACTGAACTTTCATCTTACTTTATCCATTCAAACAATCAGTATAACTCAGGCAAGGCTGGGATGTAATGATCAGACAATTATTTATCCTACTTTCATCATTATGATTGGTACTCTCGAGAGAGATAAATAATCAAATAAAGCAAAATGAGCACACTCAGTTCAGATTTCATCGCTTCACATTTTTTCAGCATTAGAAAAAATGTCTAAAAATCAGAACAATTGCTGGATTTATAATTTTTTCTCTCTTTTATAACCATTTTTTTGTATTTTCCAAATGCAGTTCAGTCGTTCACCTTCACTCGAGCAGGTAAATCTGTATTATGTACACTAATATCATGTCATTCCAAATAATGGTGTGTTATTCATGATCACATTATTTCTGTCTTTCTGTTTTTTTTTTCTACAAGTTACATTCCAAAGGGACAGAGGCCTGATAAGAAATGGAAGGTGAGGATTTAACTTATAAAATCCAGCAGTCATTCAGCCAGAGCTTTCCTGCTGACATTTCAGCACCACGCTATGCAACGTACTCAGACAGCAACGAACCATTGTAAAACCTTAAATGAAGAGTTCTCTCGTCCTGGATGAAATTTGCATAGCCATTTCCCCTGCTTATTCAGGCTGTATTCGTGTATGATTTGTGCCAGTGTTCGCCAGATGAAATCATTAATCACCCCTTTGAAGTGTGCGCTACCAATTAACGCAGGTGGGCAGCTGTTTTACTCACTGTCCTCCTCTCTCTCAGCTCATCTGAGGTTGTTGGCAGAGTGAGAGGTCGCAGGAGAAGAGTAAAGGTGATGAATGTGTTGGTGGCTCAGAGCACAGAGAGCACACAGCTTTGGGTCATACAGACAGAACACTGGGACAGAGAAGTGAAAAGTTGGACCATGAGACTTTTCACAATGGTTGAAAAAATACCCCAAATTTAGTCATCTTTTTTATGGACTAAACATACTGTACTGATGCATCTCAGTAATCCAGGTAAAAAATCAAAAGGAAAAGAAATTGTATAGGTCCTCTGGATGGGTTCTTCTCTAATGAAACGTTTCGTCTCTCCTCCAAGAGACTTCTTCAGTCTGAGAGTTTCAGGCAAAATTCAGGCTTTTGAGTCCTGCCTCCATGTGACTGATACTCACATCACATGGCTATCATTCACAGCTAATTAATACCTATTGTTAACAGGGGGTGGAGAGATACTGCCAATGGCAGCGCTGTAGGAGGGGGACAGCTGAAAACGGAGGCCCCCACCTCTTTGGACGGTCTTTCTTCACAAAAATGGCTTCTTTTACTCCTTTCTCAAACCAACGTTCCTCCCTATCAAGAATGAGAACATCCTCATCTCTGAAAGAGTGACTGCTGGCCTGTAAATGAGTGAAAACTGCAGAAAGAATGTCCCAACACAGACGAGCTAATTCTAATGGTCAGAACTCTGCAGTTTTCACTCATTTACAGGCCAGCGGTCACTCTTTCAGAGATGAGGATGTTCTCATTCTTGATAGGGAGGAATGTTGGTTTGAGAGAGGAGTAAAAGAAGCCATTTTTGTAAGAAAGACTGTCCATCATTAAACAGAGGTGGGGGCCTCCGTTTTCAGCTGTCCCCCTCCTACAGCGCTGCCATTGGCAGTATCTCTCCACCCCCTGTTAACAATAGGTATTAATTAGGTGTGAACAATAGCCATGTGATGTGAGTATCAGTCACCTGGAGGCAGGACTCAAAAGCCTGAATTTTGCCTGAAACTCTCAGACTGAAGAAGTCTCTTGGAAGAGAGACGAAACGTTTCATTYAAGAAGAACCCGTCCAGAGGACCTGTACATTTTTTTTCCTTTTAAACATACTGTATTTTCACGTTACCCCTTATACTTTTACTGCACTAAAACATGTAAACAAATATGATATATAATGTATATAATGAATAGAAAATAAAAAGAGAAAAGTACTTTTACTTGTTTGCCAGATTTGAGAGTAACATCCTAAAGTCAAGAATAAAGAGCCCCATTTTGCTCTTGAACCATCACTTGTTCTGTTATTTTTTATTGTAGCCATGGGTCATGAATGCCCTTTTTACTGGGTAAACTGCAAATTGCCAACACAAATTATTTTCTTGAGCTGCTCTGAAGAGAGGTGTATTACTTCTGCAGCTGACTTTATATGATCCTTCACTATGAGAGTCACAAACATGCAAATGTTAACCTTAGATATTTTTCCAAGACTTAATCAGCAAATTTTATTCTTAATAGTCTCTGCTAGTGACATGTTTATGAAGGGTTTAATGTTTTATAAATAGGTCTCGGGTGTAAATTAGCAGCTTTATAACATTACATTATATAAATTTGTTTGGATGATGATGCAATGTCTCTTGATATCACAAAGTCTGTCATGATACAGTTTTGATTCTACTCACTTCACAAGCCTGCAATCGGTTAGATGTGCAAATGATATTGAACTATAATGGGCAAATGATGACATTATAGATCCATGTTTTTGCTTTGCCTTGATTTATTTGAACTATCAATCATTCAATCAATATTTTGATGTGGATTGACCTATTGTCACACCCCTACTTATTCATGAGTTTGTAAACACTTTAAAACACAATGAAATACTTCTATAAATCAGTCATAAGACACTGGTTAAATATAGAAAGTGGCTTAATTATTGGTAATATACTAATTAGTGTTGTTCTTGCTAAACTAAAACTCTTGTCACAATTAAGCATTTACATCTTGCATAATGTTGAGAATATGATAATTAGAAATCCATAGCAGTGCCAATATCATTTTGTATTATATTATTGTTYTTACTGCAACCTATTTTAATACACGAAATCTCTACAGAACAAATGGCTGTTGTAGATATCTGCACTAAATATATATGTCCATTCTAACATTGAAATAACAATTGCATCTCTTGTGTGTTTTTATTTTCAAAGTTTTGATTTTATTCTTGAATTTTTTCTTCATGAAGCCTAAACTAGTATGAATTTTGAGAAGTGATTCAGAAGTTGTTTACAGCTCCAGGCATATTGTAAGCAACGATGTATGTTCCAAAAAAAAAAATAAAATAAAATAAAAAAGCAATGTTTATTTTTTTTGTATTGTAAAATCACTGGGTTTTTCTGCAAGCTTCTTATATTTATTTATTTACTTTTTGTATGTTACAGGTAACTTTAATATTTGCACATTTCATTCCTAGCCTAATGAAATGAGCTGCAAGACTCAAACAAAAACAAAATCTCCAATTTTATTACTATTTTTTGAGTGACCCTTATACCCTCTTGAGCAGAACAAGATTCTGCCAAAACTTCCTGGACAATTGTTTCTCCACACTGAACCTTGCTATATCGGTGACACTAGGCTAATTAAGCTCAGTGCAAAAATATGCAGTGTAGTTTCACACAAAACATGTGTTTCACTAGATATGCAGTTATGCACACCACCCCATTGACTGCATATGTGCTAATATGCACACATCTAATTTAGCATCACCTGCTGCAAAAAAAAAAAAAAAAAGCTTCCACAATTTTTTTCAGCACATGATCTGAAAAGGTCGTTAATTGCCTTTTTCCTCTCGCTGAATTGCTGCCCACAACTTCCCAACCTTCAAGTCAAAGCATGCATTCACCACTGTTGTATTTCACATAGAAGAAAAAAAAATGACACACTAGCTTCCCTAAACCACCTAATGGGCTTTTGCTAGCCCTGTTGCCATAGAGACAGTGCTCCAGTGTAGCTGATCTGCCAGAGGCTGTCCATGATTCTCAATTTAAAATGTAAATTTCTGTTGTGCTAAGGCTCTAAAGTGGATTTAGTGTGTGTTTAGACCTGCCTTGTTTCTCGAGGGAGAGTTAGGGGTGGATGGTGGATGGTGGGGAGTTCAGGGAGGGTGGGGTCTGATTTATAGACTTGCCATTTTATGTCTCTTTGTTGTTTTATTGTTACCTCTGTGCTGGGCGGCTCCACGGGCGAGAATATGCTGAATGAGTTTTCGCATCAATTTGTTGTTGATGCAGCAGGAGGAAAATGAGCAATACGGTTACAGGGGGAGGCTGAGTATTTCACAATGTCACCGCTTTTCTGCCAACCACCCCCTCCCCCTAATAATCCCTTTGTCTGACTCCTTTTCACAGCCGACCGGGGCTATTAAAAGCGGGAGATCCGGGCCTCCCCTGGTTGGCTGACTCCTGGCCTTCTACGAGCCTCCCAGCTAACGGAGGCTTAGGAAGTCCAAAGCACGACAACTTTGGCCGAGGAGGTAAGAAGCACAGTCAGAACGGGGCGAGGAGAAACACGGCTTTAGCTATGCCTTGTGGGACAGTTTTGACATTCATCCTTTGGGAAGCATCGTGACAGCACATGTCACAGAACAACACACTCGCGGGGCCAAGCACAAGCACCCAAATTAAAAGAGCCTCTGAGGGTTACAGTTTACTAATCTGATTTGACACGCTTGATATTTAGCTTAAACTTTGCYGTGTTTGGATTTATTTTGGTCCATCTTTCCCCAGCATTATGCATCCTCCAAGGTTGTGTGAAACTGACAGTCCAGGTTTTATGAATTTAATTTGTGTGTTTTAATCTTGTTTTGAAGCTTGTGGGCTTTATGTTTCGTAAAACAGTAGAACTGAGGGATGGCGCTGCTTGATTATCCCCTCTTGTGAGCAGTCCAACGGGCTCCCACTGAGTGTTGCATGCTAATTATGGTTGTTGATAATCACTTCCATTTATATCAAATCCATTTTGGACCTGTAGTTAAACTAATGCAGAGTGCCAGAGCAGCGGGGATCGTTAATGACCTTAAAGATTGTTAAATTCACTTCAGCTTATCTCTCTGTGAGTCCTCTACCATTCATCTCCTCACTTTGTCTCAGATGTTTTACCGTCTGCAGCGGTGGAGAAAACAGGCACCATGCTGTCTGACGGTGCCATCTACAGCAGTATCGACTTCATGGGGACGGGAGGCTACAGCAGCCCAGCGCGAGGCAGTCAGCCCACCCCTTACGCCACCACTCAGATACTCCAGTCCAACAGTTTTCATGAGCTGGCTGTGGACAGGCCAGATCCTCGCTGGAAGGCTTCTCTACAAGCCCAGCAGGAAATGGCGAACATGGGCTACTCGCTAACCGATAGACGTCCTGGTGGTGGTATGAGCTGTGTGTGTGCTGTGTGCTTGGCTGTTTTATTTTTAAATTCCTGCAATACTTTTTTTTCTTAGTAACTGCCAGCTAAACCTAGGGAAAGAGCAAACAAAAATGGAAGACATTTATTTACATATTCACTAAAATGGACCCCTAGGACAATGTTCTTAATTACTCTTCTATCTTCATCACAGTTCTACCCTGAGAGCTTATCTAGCCTAGAAATGTCACACAATCATGATGCGTTCCTTTGGCTTAATTTGATTAGTGATGGCAGAAAAATCCCTCAGTGTTCAGGGTTATTTATTTAGCATATATACATTTTGTCAAGTCGTGGAGGCATGTCGGTCTGCACTTTTGTAGTCGTGCACAATAGGCTGCGCGCTCAGCTAAATGTCAGCCGTACAAAAGATAAGAGAAGGGAAGTTGTATGGAAGCAACTTAAAGTGGTTTGCTGCAGGTTGTAATGCCTCTTTAAGAAATGTCAACATTTAGAAAATGTTTTACCGTGCTGTCAGCACATACCCAAGAAAAAGAAAATGATGAACTTTGTGTGGCAGACAGGTTTGAAAATGATGGTAGCGTAGAGAGATAAAAGATTTATTTCTAAGCTTAACTGTGTGTGTGTGTGKATTCAGTGTAGATCCATACTGGTGAGAAGACTATAAAGGGATTCATTCGCATTTTGAACACCTGTCTGTCTTTATCTGCCCCTAGGTGCAAAAGTTGCAAAGAAAAAGAAGATCAAGGGTGCAACAAAAAGCTCTAAATCGAATGGGACATGTTGGGCTAACATGCCCCTGCCTCCACCACCCATGAACCCTCTCCCAGGAACCGAGGTTGATCTCGATCGTTACCCCCAGAAAAACCATAACGGAAGGTAAGATATGCCCAGATCCCATCAGTCTTTGTTCTGGAAGAAACAAGTGCAAAACAATATGTGAAATATTATGTAGAAACTTGCCAAGATGTTTTGTAATGCACATACCTGCCAACATTAGCAGGTGGCAATGAGGGATACCTACAGTATAAGGATTAGTAAGTGCAACTGATGCAAAGTGAGGATCCAGAGGCAAACCAGCCTGGAAAATTTGGAAAAATAAATCTACTCCAAACTATACATTTTCCAACCATTTGAAGGACATCTTTCTAAATTCTTAGAATTAATAAAAACATAAAATTGTAATATGATATACAGTATTTATAGAAAAGTAGGGAAGTGGCTTACAACTAGTCTTTGAGTTGACCTTTAGAGATCATACTACACACTTTGTGCTATCTTTTACCTGTACCATCCTTTACTTGTTGTAAAGGATGGTACAGGTAAAATATCACTTATTGCAAAGAATGGTTGATGGCTAGAACAATGAATAAATCTACCTGAACTTCAACAAAAAAGCACAAATCATTTTTTCAAGTCTGCTGCCGARGATACAGGTTGTACAAGCTCTTGTTTTGCTTTGCAGTACCTCTGCCATAGTTTGTGCCATCAGAAAAAAATCTGTTAGTTTCTGAATGTTGCGACGTTGCAGTTTACATTCAACATATATTACAATAAGCTCACTCACGATGTTGGGAGAGAGGCCCGTGAAGCAGCTCCTTCATCTCCCTCCTCCCACACAGACACAACTTGGAAGCACAAACAGATAAAGCCAAGTCGGAGCTCAATAAATGTGTGACATTTGGGTGTCCTGCCCACACTCGTGCAGGAGGTGAGACAGGGGAGTCAAAATTCAGAATTGCCACATCCAAATTAGTACATTGGCAGGTATGTGTAATATGTGGGTTATTTTAGCTCACTACTATTAAAACTGACAGATTTCAAGCCATTTTTGACTTAAACTAATTAGATTTTCATTCAATGACTACATTTGGAGAGTGGTTCCTGAGATATTTTGCTAACACTACACCTAGCACCTTTCACCTTAGGGCTGTGGTTGATAGACATTTCAAAAAAGTGTTGATGATATATTTTGTGGTATAAATGGTTCACAAGTTTATTTTCTGCATGCTATGTCTTTTTCACCTGGATGTGAAAACAGCAGCTGGGCCCCGCATATGTCCATCCAGACGTACCACCACCAAGATTTAGACAGTGAGGCAGAGGAGGAGAGAGGCCCCACCCCACCACTGAGAGGAAGATCTTCCTCCCCAGCAGCAGCTCCCTTCAACAAGCCATCATCCTCATCCCTCAGCTCTGCCCATCATGAAGAAATGCAATCCATTTTGCAGGCCCACTTAGACGAACTCACCAGAGCTTACCAATATGAAGTGGCCAAGCAGGCATGGTAAGGATCTTTAATAGCTCAATTTTGCTACAGTATAAGTCCATTTTCCTTATCTTCTGTGGTTATTAACTAAATAAATACTCTTAGGCTTTACAATTTCTTTGAGATGTTTGCTTTGCACAGCTGCACTCATACGATGCTTGATTTTTCTTTCATTGTATTCTTCTGATAGTTTGGAGTTTGAATATCAAGAATTAGTGTTTGAGCATTGTATAATGCTCATATTTGCATGTGTCAGCCCAAACCTGCAGCCCATGTGTCTTGCAGGCGATAAAACCACCCCCCATCGATTACACCTTCGAGAACTTGATCACTTTGGGCCGACACATGTTGGAGGCTAATGACTGGGTTTAGTCCTCCATGCTGCTCTGACATCAGTAAATAGAGTTGGTAATTACGTGTGCATCTTCTTTTATGGTGGGATGCGAGCCATCATTGAGGACAGCTGTGCACGAGATAACAGGCATGTTGCTGACAGCCCTGCCCATCCAGATATCCTTTATCCAGTCCAATTACAACTCTATTGTGTTAGCACAACACGCACCAACGCTGAGAAAGCAATCAGTGAAAATCACTGCAGGCATTCACAGTCTTTGCACACTGCATCTTTGAGCTTCTGAATATCCACTGATTTTGTTATCCAATGTTTGTTTTACAAGATTTTTTTTCCATGCTCATTATCTGAACTTTATTGATGTTTGATTTTTGTTTTTGCATAGTTTATTAATACATACTGTTTGCTCACATTCAATTAGGCATATGAAAAGCAATTCGAACGTGTCCAACACCCCGTTGGACTTCATGTCCAGTACYCTAGGCTCTGATTTGGGAGCCAGTCTCCTTTCTGAAGAAGAAGAGGACGAGGACGAGGATGATGAAAAATATGCTGTGGTGTCAAAGAACTTATGTAGTTTTGACTACACTCCTGGGCACAGCATGGATAACCTTGATGGCTCAGGTATGTTTTCTAATTGTATCTCTACTCAAACTTTAAAAAAAAAATCCTTCTTTCAAAAATAAATATTCATTTATATTGGAAGTTTTTGAAATGTGATAGTTTGCATGACTTGACCCTCAGCATAAAATGAATATAAATGTAATACAAATGTTCTGTTTGTCAAATGATTTTAGTGAGAAACTAGATTAACATTCTGAAAATGTATCACTCAAAAATAAAACCACGATGAGGAGGAAAAGGTATTCTATTTAGAATATTGAGAATAATGTTGAAATGTTGAAGGGAAAAAAAGGGAAATATTTTTAGTATAAAGTCAAAGTCAAGGAAGGAAACTTCATTGTGCTCCTGAACCTGACTGTGTTCACTTTTTATATGACTATTCTTTCTCATAAAATATGGATAGAGTTCATTTTTTGATAAATGTAGAAGCCATAACACTATATTTTAAGATTTGATGCATTTATAAATAGGTTTCTGTTGGAAAGCTGTTCTTTAGAGCTAGAGAACTCGTCAGCTTCTCCCACAGGGACAGAGCTGTACGGTTTTTAGACCCCARTGTTTGATAAGTTACATTTGACGGGTGCATTAACACTGCATTTTAATGTACCTTTAATGACCCATTGCAGTTCAAAACAGAGGCCAGTGTAACTATAAAAAAGTTACAAACAAAGCAATGCAAACATGCTATCATTTCATACCTGTCCTATATTTAAAGTGAAAACTTCAGATGTARGCTGTGACAGACTGAAATAAATATTCCCATCAGTCTTCAAGGGTTTGTGTGCTCTAATTGTAGAGTTATTTTTGAAAAATCAAATTTGTATAATGTATCAACCCATGAGGGYATGACATATACAAGTATTTTAAGTATTTTCATATTGCATTCCTTGTATTTCTGCAACAAAGGAAAATTTGTTRTGAAAGCTTTTTGATCAAAGCAGTCTTCTGGATCAAAAATAAATGTATGAAGGATTTCTATCCTGAGGGATGGGAAAATAGTGCAGAAAATCTTTATTTCTACTTCTTTTCAAACCAACCCTTGGCTGTTTCTTTATCCGTCATCACAATTTATTCAGTGTTCTATGCTGTTAGCTTATTTCCCAAAATCCTGTTGACTGGTTGTAGATTTTTATTGTGATTCAAACAACATTAGCCAACTTTTGTTTTAAACAAGKTATATYAAGAAACTTAGCTGTGATCAWAGCTGTTTGTGAGCCAKGTAATCATTAATAGTAAGTAACTGCTTCTCTTTCCAGGCAAAGCCTCCCACCACCATCACTCAGACAGCTTTGGCACGGCAGATCATGCTGCACATGGGACACATAGTCTTGGACACAAGAGGGCACCACTTGCTGCCCACAGTCCTCAGACGGACAAGGTTGGAACTCTTCCCAGTCAAAGAGATGCCAAGACAGACTGTAAGTTTGGACTCTCAGAGGCTATTTATCAAACAGTACTCCTCTTTCACAGCAAATTCAGTTAGGAGGGCCAACTTTATGTCATGATGCCCAATCTGTGTATCGTTTTTACAAATATTTTATCCACTATCCACTCAACAGCCCAAACATCGGCCACAAAGTCTCTACATGGCATGAGTTCCCACATCCACAGCTCGTGGGCAGCTGCAGCCTCAGACCCATCTAAGGAGTGCATGGTTACTGTGTCAACACTAGAAAGACAGCATATGGCTTCCTGGAGTGGAGCAGCATCATCAGGCAGGGCCACCCTGAGTAGGGGTTCCCACAAGAGACCTGGCACAGATCTCTCCCACAACGGGCATCCTTCCACTAACGCCACTGACAACAGGGAACACTGTAAGTAATCAACCTTATAAAGGGAAATCAGTGTGGGTGTATCCAAAATGGCAAGGGCTTTGTGATAATAAAAATAGCAAGAAATAATGTATTCCGATGTTTATTTCATTGATTTAGAAATTTTATTTAGGGATCAAATCTTTGAAACTTTGCATTGTAATTTTTTTTAAAATTGCATATATTTTCAATAGGTATTTATATTAAAAAATGTTATTAGTTAAAATTGTCACTATGTCCTGATAGTAGAATATGAAACAGATAATCTGTGAAAAAGGTCACACTCCTCTGGCTCCTCCCAGTGGTCCTAATGCCATTTGCAGAACTACACCGCTCCAGGTCAGGAACAGCCAATGAGAGCCAGGAGTCTTTTACTTTGTGTGAGTTCACGCTTGTGCACGTGCATCTCATGCCCTTCCCCCCTCATGGTGTGTGCCCTCTTTCAAGCTTAAGATAGCCGTGTGCAGCAGCTGTGCTGACGGCAGAGAAACAACCTAACCTCACAAGAAAATCATCACTTTCTGAGAGTGCTGAATGTGCCATGGCTCTTTATCATCGGAGGTCATGCTGCACGTTCACGACAGGCTCRGATGTGGGCGGAGGAGCTGTGGAGGGAGGGCTGTAGCGCCGCAGAGAGCAAAGGGGGACGGACCAGTGAGGTGGGCTTTTGCAAAATATCAGGCTAAGTTTCTCAGAACTCCCTTCTGCAACTTTAACTTGGGCTCTTAGCTTTGTATCTTTGTGTTGGGAGCACACGTGAACCTCTGAATTGAGCCATTAATCTGAAAGTGAAATTGAACTAAGATGCTTTCAATCAATGGATTGAAAATTGGATAAAGAGAAGCTTCTGATCTGATCTGAGCAACTCATGACTGAGGAAAAAAAACAGTATCAAAGCTTCTAATATTAAAAGGGGATTTTTGAGACCCTTGGGGATAGCCTGGMCAAGCACAAGTAAAAATTGACTTTATTGCTGTTTTTAATGAAAGCATTGCTTAATATGTCAAAGTAAACACAATCAAAGCAGCACAAGTTACAATAGTAAAAGTAACTCCTTCACATAWTAGTTTAGTCTTAATAGATTTAAGGAGCCACAGTTGTTAGAGCTGTCACCTCGATGTGAGATGTTTGCAGGATTGTCTTTCCGCCTGAGACATTTTTGTATGGAATTGGCACGTTTTGCAGGTGTGGGTTTTTTCTGGGTACTCACAAAAAAATAAAAAATAAAAAAAATAAAAAATAAAAAGACATGCATGCTAGGCTGGTAATTCTAAATTGTCCCTAGGTGAGAGTATGAATGTTGTTTTTTTTATGTTTTGTTTGTCTCTGTGTGGTCCTGTGATGGACCTACGACCTATCCAGGGTGTACTCTGTTCTTTGCAAATTGCTAGAGATAGGCACCAGCTCCCTGTGACCTGGAAATGAATAGTGTGTAAAAATAACTTTTCCTTTTAGGTAATTTAAATGCAGTATACCAAACACAAAATGGACATTTTGCTGTATTAATGTTTATGTCTTGTTGATGTTTGTTGTGCGTGCATGCACACATTATTTTTTTTTCACAGCAGCAACACRCCATCTCAGTAAAGTTACATAAAAGAGATAGTTCAGATCTTTTGAGTTTGGGGTTCTGTTCTAAATAGTCCAAATCCAAGCTTAAGATGCAATTCCTTGAAGCTTTATAATTTTGTTTTCTTCTCTGTCCTTCTGGTTTCTTTTTCAGAGTCAGAGTGAAACGTKTTTCCCTGCAGTTTGTGTTCTGTCCCTGGACACCTTGTTACAAGCGCTATGAGATTTTTTTTTTCTCACTTTGCAAGGACGACGTGTAGAAGATGGAGAGGACACAGAAAGGAGGAGCGAGCAGAAGTGTTCAAAATGAAACACAGAGCTGTAAATGTCATGTACAGACACAGACGCCACTCTCACAGTGTTATTTTCATCCCCTTCTTCAAAAGAGTAGACAATATGTTATATGTCTGCTTCTGTTTTTCTGTCACACGATGTACAGTGATTCACACGGTGGAGATGTGAAGAAAAATGAAACACGCAACAAAATGACTTGTTATAAAGGACTTGCATAATTTGTACATATATTTTTTAATGTTTTTTTTTTCTTTCTGCTTTGCTATGCAAGCCAAACCCAACGTTGTCTCTTTTTTTTGTGATTTATTACTGTGAACGATTTTTTTATTTTATTTTAGTTATTTATTAATTTATTTTTGTTAATGCTCAAACTGTTAAGCTTATTTTGATGAAGCTACTGTATCGTTGTATTTTGCACAGAGCATTTTGGTGAAAATAAGCACAAACCCATTGTCAGCTAAGCTGAGGAGGAGAATCATTTATTTCAAAAAGGGGGCATCTGTAAAGAAACAGAATCAGAAAATATATTCGGCTGGGCTGTAATTGCTATGAGAAATGCTGAATGCTATGAGGGGAAAATAACAGGCAGACACTTTTATGCCAAAAAAAATAACTAATAATGTGTCATGTTTCTTGCTGAATCTTGTGTTTTTCAGTAAAAAATGATTGTCGCGAGGTMATGAGGTGAAGATGTTTTATGGAGTCAAAGTAAATATGTAAAACAATAGTTACCGTCTCTGCCATTTTGATAAAGAACATCTCAATTAATAATATATCTCCTTTTCCTCTTTCCTGTCACATTCTGTGACATGATGAAGTGCAATATTCAGAAAATGATATGACAGGAAAGGAAAATGAGCAGATAAAACTGGTGGAAGTCGTAGGCCTTACATTATGTGGAAGGTGCAGAGACGGGTGACCTAAATCCACCTGCAGATAAAAACAATGCAATATTTAACACAGCTCTATGTTTACTTTTTAAGCTTAATCCAGGACTGATGAATGGTTGTGATTTAGCACCAACTAAATGGAAGTTAAAGGATTATTTTAGGAGGATGTTGCAAAATTTAAAATCTTAGCTTTTCTGTCAATGAGATTCAGAATGAAATGTCTTCACACGTCTCAGAATGATTCTGGTCTGATTTTTTTTTTTTTTCTTGTAATGTTTCATACTCTTTACATTACAGATTGGTTTGCCCTCAGGAATACACAGCCACATACAGTAGGGGCTTATACTTTGATGCAAAATAAAATGTGTATGTGAAAATCAAACCATTCTCTCCATATGATGTCTGAAACATTACTTTGTGTCCACGCAGAAGGGTCTGAGTAGAAGTGATGAATCATTTTGTTTCATTTTGACGACTTCCAAATGTGTTCTCCCCACAATTCCGCCTTGCCAGAATGCCTTTTGGCATTCTCTCTGTTTTATAGCCTTACAACATAAAATCCAAAATTATTTTGGATGGGTGATGTTTCTTTTCAGTTATAAAACATGATTATCACTTTAAAAAAAACAAAGTTTTCAATAAACATGAAACCTGAGTGTGCAAAATTATACTCAACAATAGAAATGATTGGTATGTCTAAAAATTACATATTTTGTTCATTTTTGAAATTATTTTAAATTTATTATTAAATTTTAATACAAAGCTGCTCCATCTCCTTTAATATATATTGGCATCACGTGTGTAATCTTTAAACTGCACTAGGACATATCACTTTTTTCTTTCCATTTCAACAACTGAAGTGTTGCTATACAAGTGTTATCCTGCTAGAGCAGGGATGGGCAAAAACTGTCATTTTAAAAATGTTTGTGTACACACGCACATACATGTCACGTGTGTGTGTACATATTTTTGCTACCTAGTGGGGATGAATTTCGACCATTTTCCTGCTGCACAGCCTGGTGAGGACCCATTGTTTCATATGGAGGCAAAGCCTGGTCCCCACTGTGGTAAATACCATTGATGGGGCAGGGGTTAGGGTTTGGACTAAGATGTGAATTGAGTTAGGTTTAGGGGGAGGTACTGCGGTGGTTAGGTTTGYGGTTTAAGTTTAGGGTTTGGCTAAATGACCAATAAATAAATGGAAGTCAATACAAAGTCCCTARGAGGATAGAAGAACAAATGTGTGTGTGTGTGTGTGGGTTATGTGTTTATTAAACCAACATACAGTGCAGTAACTTAACATATTTTATGCTTAAATGCATAATAGTTGTGCTCTTGTTTAATAAATATGAATACAAAGCATGTGGATGTTACTTTAGTGAGCTAAAGTGCTGCAGCATATTATGCCTCAAGTTCAGACTCCTGCGTGGTTGTGGGTCTGGTAAAAAGTCACTGTCCTTTATGTATTTGCGACTTCAGTAAGCTTCTCATATTTGGCTTTGTGCAACAAGCTGTAGTGGTAACTTACATTAAAACATTTTGCTGAGTGGCCAGACGGAAGACGCCTGTGAGTCAGATGATGCCCGTGGGTCCTATGCCCTGTGAACCTCCATCTCAGTCACAAATCTATGGAAGGCTCAAACAGGTTTTCCCTTAAGATGTTTTTAGGATTTTCTTAATCAGTTTGTTCTTTAAAATTTCCCAAATCCCTGCTGATGAAAAACAATTCTACAATTAGATGCTGACACCACCCTGTTTAGATGTGGGGATGGCAATCTCACCATGATAAGAGACATTGGATTGATCCGATTGCTGTTGATGGACACAAGTTCAGTTTTGGTCAAATCTGAACAAAGTACTGGCTTCCGCTTGTTACCTTGTTACCTTTTGGCAAATTCCAAACTGTTTGCCCTTCACTTTTTTATTTTAATTTATTTTTTTATTATTAAGCAATGGTATTTCTTTTGCCATGCTTCTGTGAAGAACAGCTCTTTTTATTTAAATATCAGGTTATAAGGCAACAGAGTAAAAATAATGGCAAGAGGGTTAAATCATTTTTGCAGCCCAATAAGGTAAACTGTGATTTAATTTTCAATGTTGAAATTAAATACACTTTACATAAAAAACAGTAACAATACAGTTTGTCAATATTTAGTGTTTTAAAATGCACGTGGTTATCAGTGCCAAAAACTTGACATACTTTAAACAAAATTTTCAAAAAAATGTTAATAACCACCAGTCCTACAATCAGTTTATACAAATGAGTATTTTTCTGTGTCAGACTGACTTCATAATTCATCTTTATTTTAATATTATTGCTTAGATCATCTCTGTTGCTTTAGTTGCAGGTGTCCTTGAACTCACACGGGGTAAGGCATGCATTAAATTTGATATAGCACAAATACAAACATGATTGAAACTAACCTAGATTTAAAAAAATCTGCAGAGTTTCAAATTTAACTGTGTTCCCTCTTCACTATCACTGGAACATGCTGCTCCATGTTGCACAAAGATAACCTTTGAATTGCTTGCAGCTTTGGGCTGGATGGCCTCGGGTGATGGGAATGGTGTTATGTGCATTGTGGAGCAGCCTTGTATCTTGTTATGAATGTACAAGGATTAGGACCGTCAGCAGATTCATACATTTAGGCTTAAATTGCAGTTTAGCAGTTAAACTTTCTGTCCAGATTTGAGAGTTTCCAGCAATCCCATGGGGACAACAAAACTTTTCTGCTCTATAGACTTTAAGTAGAACTAAAATACAGTTTCCCAATTACAGGAACCAAACAGCCTGATCACCAAGTCTTGAACTGACTCCATCTAATTTGCCCAGAGTGTAGAACATGTGAATTTAATGGCAGAACATAAACAAATAGCACAGCCCACAGAGCCCAATTATAGAGCTCTGCCAGCATTGATATTGCTACACTTGTGTTTTATAAAGCTGTTGCTTAAAATACTGATCCATAAATGGTGTGCTTACTTTGTGGGTAGTTGTGGACCAATGGAAAATCAGTTTACTGTAACACATCTAATGGTGAGATACTTTTTTTAGCCTTTGGGAAGCAATTTGGCCTCTGACTGTTGCTAGAAATCACTGGAAATACTTGTAATGGAAGTCATTTTTTATCTATAACAAGAACCAGTGGATGACAATAAAACACCAAAAGCATTTTGCATTTCTTTTCCCTGAAAATGTAATTTTCACTGGCAAGTAAAAAAACCTTATAAGCCAAAGTAATTTAGTTGGGTAAATAGGTCAAAAATTGCAGTTGGAAAATGCTTTAGGTTCATCTTTCTAACAGATAAACCCATATGAAGATGCAATACATAGTTATAGGATAGTCATTTCTTGTTGTTTGTTTCTGTAGAGTTATATATTGGCCTGCAAGAAAAGCAAAAACTGCTGAAACTGAAATGGCTTTAAAAGTTGAGCAATGTAATGTAGGGATGTGTCATGCTCAAAAAGCCCTAAGAGCTCTAAAACGGGATGTGTTGCAGTGAATCAGAAAAGCCGACTCCCATCAAGTGAGAGCAGCCTCTCTGATTTGTTTTTCCTTTTTGCTGGCCTTGTGACCAATCACGTGAGGATATAGGACAGGGGTGGTCAAACAGTCCTCAAGGGCTGCCATCCTGCATGTTTCACTTGTTTCTTTGCTCCAACACACATGATTTGAATGAATGGGCAGGCTTCTGCAGAACTTGAAGAGTTAATTCAGTAACTGAATCAGGTCCATTGGAGCAAAGAAATAAGTAAAACATGCTGGATAGTAGCCCTTGTGGACCAGAATTGCCCATTCCTGGTATAGGATCATACCATTATACGATAACAGAGAGGGACAGGTGGATCATCTGTCTGTCCCCTCAAGGACCCAGCATATAGATGAATTAAATAAAAAGTAAAAGTTTTATTCAAACATTAAAGAAAAGCAAGAATGATTGCTTTAACAACAATAAATACAAAAAATAAGGCAATTATAAGGCTGGTTAAGCTAAATGTGAAGCATTCATAGTTGCCAAGCTAATCTAAAACACAAGGCTACAGATAATATTAAATTTAAAGCGGTTTGGGAGCCATTCCTCAAGAGCTGGCTTTCTGAAAAGAGCCAAACTTTATATCACTAATGTAATAATGAAACCAGGAAGAATTATTGGCAACAGCATATTCATCACCCACTACTGTGAAAGGCAGGCAATATGCACATGCTTGTGCGTGTGTGTAAGTAAGAGAAGGATGAAAATTAAAAATGCTTATGTGGCTTGAGGTGGTTTGGAAGTTTGGAACCCTGGCCTAATAAAAAATTCAAACCGCATTTAAACTGAAACACCTGGGATGAAAAAGGCCTGCTAACCCTGACTTTTGACCTCTTGAATTATGTGAAAAGACAGTTTCACCTTTGAGAATAATAGTCTGCTTAGTTCAGTGTTTGGTTATAAAACATCCTCACAGTAAGAAAAAGAATATACAGTGTGCATGCTTTTAATTCTAGCTAATCATTGCGAATATTCCATAAAAAGTTTATTAAATCATCTTCAAATAGTCATAAACATATTTTTAAACATTTTGTAAATAATTCCATGAACCAAACTGTGCTATGCCTAAAAAAAATTACAATTGCTGCAATATAAAGTGAACCTCACAAACATTTTCCTGTATTTCAGACTTAAAAGCATGCAATAAGATGCAAAAGTATGTACATACCATATATTTGCATGTATGTTTATTTTATCCAAGTTAACGGTCATACATTTATGTGGAAATGACAAAATAATAAACAAAGATGATGCASATAATGCAATGAAAGCTCTTGCAAAGCTCTTGCTATGTATATTGAATCATGATTATCATTAAAATATGCTAAAATAAATTACTGTATTTCACAATAGGAGGCTCACTGCATATTTTATGGTGTGTTTTCAGAAGCATTGTACACAGCAGTCAGACTTTAGTGATTACACAGTGGGCTACATTTCATTATCATAAAAAAGGAAAATAGTCACTTTCTTTTTTTAGATCCCTGTTTGGAATGAGCACCCACATTTTGTGAAATTTTCCCAACATGTGGTGGGCAACCTTTTCACTATGATTATGTGCAACCTCGCCTCAAAAGGCTGATTTGTGACTCATGACATTTGGCTAATTGCAACATGCAAACAGAGAAGTAGTCTGCATGCACCCCACCTGAAACTGCAAGGGCTGCGTTGTGGCACAGATACCCTGAGGCTAGGCTAAAAGGCCAGGGGATGTYTGGCCTTAAGCTCCCTCAGTGACCAATTTATTTTCATCTTCTCCTCATTGTGCCTCAAACATGCAGCCTCTGATAAAGGGAATTTTTGAGTAGCGAATTCAACCCTAGAAATAAGCTCAGACTTGTTTTTTCT